GATTCATTTGCGGTTCTCGTGTTTCACAGTGTATGTGCTAAAGCCGTGCCGCTGTTGAGAGTCGCAGGTGGCTCGTCGCGCACATTAGTTCTTTGCAACTTGTAGCTTAGCGCTACACTAGCAAGGTTCAAAGTGTGAAAAATCGTCGCGACGGTATGCTTGATTTCTGGCGCGTCGAAACCTAACCCGCGTACTACCCACTACGTACAAACGGCTCGTATCAGTATATAATACACGCCCCGACGACGAAAGAAGTAGCGACAGTGTGTCTCGAGTGCCCGCGATCCCGTGGACACGAGACAACGGCGACGAAGGCCACAAAGTGCAACAAGATGTCGATGCGATCGTGTGCGGCAAGGATCAAGGCGAGCACGCACCCGCCCATGACGAAGCTTTGAGGGCCAAGATACTTTCACCGATCGAGGAACGCGTTGAGGATTCCGTGGTGGTAATTTTCAGTGTCCCAGGCAGCCTCGCTAGCCCGCGAATTGGGCTTGGATGGAAACGCCCGAACGCATCGATCGGACAACATCTGTCGCTGGCCACACGCATCGTTCTGGAGCTATCATATCCTGTCGTGACAGCTGGTCCACGCGTGTGGGGCCATCCTGAAGCTGACACCATGCGCAAAGCGACGCTTCACGTCGGTTGCTACGGCTAGTAGCCTGGTGCAAACTAGCGGGAGATCTGAGCAGCCGTTGCGCTGCGCTGTCAACGCATTTGCCATGTTGCTGACTCGGGTTGGCGGTAGGATACGTTGTATGCGTGAGTGACGGTTCGTCGCACACAAATGCTCGACCGGGTAGTGCATGATTTGTTCTCGAGTCGCCAGTCGTATACTGAACAGCCCGCCAAATACGGTGTGACCGCGCGCGCCTAGTTGGTTCTTTGGGCAAGCTGCCCACCACACTCGATGTCGTCCTCGCAGTGTCTTGACATCCCGGCGTTTGTTGGCTTGCTCTCCAAAAGCTACTTCGTATCTCAGAGAACTGCGACGATGAGGTCTGTCCCACGTACTGAGCATATCCTGGTCGACTTGGCGGTTGTGAACGGATGGCAATATGGCTGTAATGCAATGTGGAGGCGGAAGTCTGTTCGGCACTTACGACTCCTCTACAGCCTCTGCAGCAGACGGTCCCAACACAGAGGACCTTCGGGAAACACGGCGGGTTGTTGCCGTGCGAGTTCGTTGGTGTCCTATGGGGAGGCCGGTGCGCGTCGACGAGAAGTTGAGGAGCTTACAGCAAGCTAGACCTAAACCTAATTGAGACCGTGAAGGAGGATCTGGGTTGCTGGCGTACGGGAAGATCATGGTGCTCGGCTCTTGCTCGTGAACTAAACCAGACTCAGGAATGCTGCTTGATTATCCCGAGTCCCACTGGTCACGACCCGAGCACTGCAAGTGTAGGACTGCACAGCCATTCACGGGATCCATTGCTGCTTGGACGAGAAACGTCACTTCGG